ATCGCTAGGCCACGAATCATCGCAAAGGCCAGATATGCATTAAGTCGTCTCAACGATGCTAGAAATTCGAAGACAAATGCAGGTTGCATCCCGCAAAGATTGATCAGTGCAAGAGCATAATCCTTCATCCTTCTAATGCTCATGTGTTTGATAAACTGTAAATACAGCACACATTATATCAAACATACATTTGGTACACGTCGTGGAACGATGTCTTTGTTGCAGCAAAAAATGCTTTCACATGAAAAAACGCTTTCTCATGATAGGAAAATAACAGAGTACCTTGAAAAAGCACTCTTATAGCAGTGTGACAACGCTATTATTATATAATCGGCAGTGCTAAGTGATATGCGAAGCTTTGAACCTTAGGCGGGAATTGAACTCGTGTTTTATCCTTACCAGGGCGAACACTACTAGCTCCTAACCAGTAGGATAAAAAGTGGCCCAACTCCGACTTAAGGTTTAGAGCTTTGATATTACTTGACATTAATAGATATACGAGATTACAGACATCATATTAGGTCTTCTGAAAATCTATACCAGAGACAGTCGACGACAGATGTGAATCGGGAGAATTTTGTTTCTTGCTGACTTTGATTATTCAGGGACAACAGCGATTTCTGAGATTAGTCAGACGATTTCTCGGAGACATTATAGCAGGCCCCTTAACCCTATAACACTTTCCATTGCAAGACGATAGATGGTATTCAACTCTACATCATGACTAGAGTGAGCATCTCTCCATAAAAGGATGCACTCCTGAAAGGTAAACGTCGTCTTTTTTTTGAAGATATTTTTTATAACCGTGTAGCAGAAAAGAAAAATGTGTTTCTCATTTGCATTTCTCGCAGTACAGAGCTCTTTGATTGACGTGTTAGCAGCCATTCGATAGAATAATCTACGACGATTCCAACGCCTGATTTACTTTCCGGAAAGACCGTTTCACCGTAGTTTATAGGGAAAATAAGATGGAGTTTCACATACATGGGCGTTTGTTTTTGGCTAGTTTGTTGGCTGAGAAAGTTTGGTCGTGGTTTCTTTAGACGATCGATCAAATGTGCTGGCGTGGACACATGTGGCGTAAAATTTTTTCTTAAATTTGAGGCTTTTTCTCCACCTTGAAAGGAACCCCAGAAAAAAGTGTATGGATTTGATCTAATAAAATTTCCTCTACGCATTCACATTTTTAGTGCTTCCAGCATAGTCTTAGTGAACGCGCGTAGACGGTGTAAAATATAGTCTTATTTTGAATACTACAACGTTATAAAAAGGTCATTTGAAGAACAGCTATATAGCGCCGTAATCAGAGATTTGTGCTTATGAATAACTACTAACACTCCTCTGAAAACTCTTGTCCCACAGAAAGGGTCGCTTCGCTTGTCCTCAGATAATATACTTTAACGTTATATTTACGACTTTCAGAAAATGTGAAAGATAACCTGGAGAAAAAATTTTCAGCGCGAACTCAGTAATTACCAGCTCCGATGACAAAATAACTGTTGGGAAACGCAAACGCATCATCCTGAACAAAAAACCACTTGTTCAAATGCTTCAATTTCCGAAATTGACATTAAAAAAAATCGAAGTTAGATCTCACGATCTCAAATTGCCAGAACTGCGACTCTGTAGATTGAAAAAAATTATGGCTTGTAAACCAATTGCACACCTTATTAATTTTCACCTAAATCAATAAAGTATAGGATAAGTCACGATCTATCAGAGCTGGAAGAGCCTAGTAACCGTACACCGAATGCATTACCATAATGCATGTAGGGCGTCAGGTATCAACGAAGGTAGAGATCAGAAATTTTTCCACCGACAAGTTACTACTCTCATCAAATATACCTCTTCTAGTCTTAAACTTCAACACATTCCAATTTGGATGACCTTTTGAACGCTGATTTTGAAAATACAAACTACTCTGACCAATGTGAAATCGCTGCAGCTTATAACGATGTCGTGAAAATCATTATCACTCTTCGAACCTTATTGTATATCAACAGAATATTATTAAAACATTTATTTCCGCTTTACACCAGTTTTCACGTTAAATATACAAGTGGTAAACAAATAAATAAACAATTATCAAGCCACTTTTTGAAAGAAGTCTGTGGCTTAGCGTTTATATGAGTAGTGCCTAAACAACACAAGTAGTTTCACATCCTAGGCTTAATTACCCAAGTTTCATCTACTATAATTCGATACAATAACACACTTTACGAGTAGACGAAATTAATAGATTGAAGAGTCATAAACATAGCAAATTGAAAGTAGATGCATGAAAACTACCGACCGAAGAACTTTAACAAAAAACGATTCTCTCGCTCCTTCTTCTTCGGATTACTTAAATCAGGTGATGGAAAACGTTGCGAGTAAACAGATGGATACGTTTTCTTGAACTGCAAAAAACTCAATATGAGTAGAGAAAACACTCGACTAAATAGTCTTCAATGTTGGACAAACCGATAATACGAATAGACAGTCGTATTGCAAAGGAAATTCGAAGTCAAAGTCAAATAAGTCACTTTTTTCAATCGCTTTCGTTTCTCTTGCAGTGTCAGATTCTCGTCGATACATATTTGATCAAGAAGTTCCAGGAGATTTCCAACCAGGTTTAGATTCTGCTCATCGTACTCACTTCCCTAAATTATATTTTCAAGCAGGTCAGCTTACAAAAACAAGAGAAGTTCTGGTAACAGATTCGTAGGTTAAAAATACCTTGGCAGGCTCACAAAACTGCTTATAGTTCGTTGTTTCTGGTCGTAATCCCGGACTTTGTCCTAGTGGAGTCACCTTGATAAAGAGAAATGTCGAAGGAGAAATCACTAAACGCCGCAAAGCTCAAATGTTTTTTAAAGACCGTTATCACTACCACTATCATAACGACTACCATTAGATAATAGCCATAATCGTAACTCAAGCTTTAAGATCTCCTGGTACTTTTCCGTTTTCAGAAATCACTTCTTTGTCCTTAGAGGTGAAGGTCTTTTCCGGGCTTTCTTCAGACTTTGATAATCATTCGACAGCTTAACTATCGTAAATTTCACACTTCAGGTTTTTTTTATCTTAAAAAACTCTTCTTGGAGTGTTGTGTCAGCGAAAATAAGCCCATGTTTCACACTCGACACGCATTTTTGCTCGACCATTAGGCTTCATAGTGGGTTTATTCAGCAGTATAGAGAGGATATTTGCGAAATAAGCCCATAGGAAAATATAACAATGTTTATTTTACAGCTTCAAAATAGAAAGCCTAGAACATTCTAAAAAATCGGAGAAATGTTTTGAAGTAAATAAGGAAAATGTGTACCAGATGTAGAACACAACTATATTTTTGCTTCCACAGCGCATTAAAAAGGCCTTCTTACGAATGTAGTATTTTTGTGAAATAATCGGAATACATGCTCTCAAAAGATTACCAAAAACATAGTGGAAATCTCTGTCCAGCAAGAAAGCAAAAAATGCCTTTACAAAAAATGCTTCCCTATAACAGAAAAGTACGATTCTTTTCGTTTTTAGAGAGAAATGTAAAAAATGTGCTACCTTTTCGCGTTGTCGTTCTCGTATCGCTGCATCTACCTCTGACATCAAACCTTTCGGAACGGTAAAGATTCCTTCTCGTAATCAAGTAGTAGAGAAACAAGATATATACACTGAGAAGTTGACAATGAAGAGATCCTTGGGTGGATATAATGCTACCGGAGAGACCTTTCAAAACCTAAAATCACGGCATAATCTGTGAATTTTCGTTATAAATATTATCCACTGAATAAATACTAACTGCATAACGGTTCGAGTGCACATCGTCCAGTTGTAGACAATGATTTGCAGCAATTTTATTCATGAAAACGAATTAAGTAATGAAGTTTACGACGACGAGACGAAGGTAAAGATAGGAGTACGAGTGATAGAGCTTCCAGTATAGGATCTGGTGGCCGTGGCAAAAGCTCTCAAAATGTTAATTTGCATCGAATATTTAGATGACATTTGAGTCATGGGTTGTTACCTTCGATAAAAGAATTTGCGGCGGTAGATGTTAGCGAGCCTCTATGAGATGACAATTCTAGACACATGAGAAATGCCACATTGACGATCAGCACGGATTAATTCGTTAAACTCCGGCAACCTCATGAATTCTAAATGATTAAAAAAGAAGGTTTAAAAAGAAAAAGATCTCTTTTATCATACAAATCAGCCAGATGTACTGATGTGAAACACTCACCGGATAGACTTTACCTATCAACTCGTCATTTGGGCTGTCGTTCTAAAATACATTTCATCAAGGTCTTTGCATTAATTCTGGGTTCTTACCCTTAACCCAGGAAGATTGAGTACTTCCTGAATTCAGGCACACCAGCTACTGAAATAAATCAGAAAAAAATCTCTACACTAACGCCTTAGTTTATCAGTGTATATAATGTCATACTACATATGCGAAGACACGTTGAGCGGTGTGCAAATCTCTTAAACCGTGGACAGGGATGTGAACCCGCGTCTCACCTTATCCAAGTAACGCGTGCAAACCACTGCTACTACCTGGGCTCCTATTTTGCTCTCACTTTTTCTGTGATACTGCCGTTATGTGCTCAGCAGATTCAACCATTGAAGGTCGATTTCTGAACAAAATTGACAGCTTGCAAAGCAGAGTGACAGCGAAACATGAGTAACATCAGGCAATTGGTTAGCAAGCGCTTCTAGGAAAGGGTTTAAACGCGGGTTCAACTGCGGTTCGAGGCTTACAGCTTTGCATAACCTCGACATTCTCGCAGGAAATCTATAGAATAAATAATACTCACGAATATAAAGTATTTCGGCGTTCCTGTCCTGATCGATTTGATTCTGCTAAAGTACTCGGCGCATTCAGCGACTCAGCAGATCTATAAATTGATCTTCTTTCAAGTTTCATTTTTCTTTCAACTAGTGATGCAAGTGACTTAGACAAAGACATGGAAATTTCCAAGATTCGACACATCTAACGAGAATTGAGTGGTGAGCAAAAACACGACCTCAGGCGGGAATCGAACCCACGTTGTCATACTATCCGGGGACGCGTTCTTTCACCACTACCACCACTGAGGCACATTTGCCGACCACTCATCCTTCAACATCTCAATGTTAGCCATCAGCCACCAGCCTTTGACAAGTTTGGTCGGGTATGCGATTTCGCTTTGAAAAAACCCAGTTGAGCTGACAGCTATTCTAATTACTAATACTCGAAATTGATAGTATTTTTAGTGGATTTTCGCACTGGTATGATGTTTCCTATATGCATAAGAGAATTGAGTGGTGAGAGATGGTATATAATAAATTGTGGTGAGATTTTTTTTTGTGGGATTGAGTGACTCGACACATTGACAAAACAATGTTACTTGAATTATAGAAAGGAAATCAACATGGCCCACTTGTCACGAGCTCTAAACAAACCTGTGAATTATTCTTTCTCGTTTTTCCTCCCTTCTTTTCCTTCCTTCTCCTTACTTTCCTCCTTTTTTTCCTTTCCCTACAGTCCCCGCCGCGCCGCCTCCACGACGAGCAAGCAAGAGACGAGGATCTAGTGCGGAAGATCCCAGTCCCAAAAAAAGAAAAGGAGTTACGCTACATGGATTTGGTTCACCCTCAATACCATATCGCAATCTCTTATTTAAAGAGAAAAGTAAAGAAATAGATGTGATGGAGAACAGCGCTATCCCACATTATTAATCCTAACCCACGACGCCACCAAGATCAAAAATATGAACTACCCAATCACCCTGAAAAGAAATCCTCTTCATCCCCAAAAACGAATCACCTTCCTTCTTCCCTCGA